TCGCGCCCGGCTCCCCCAAACCGCAGGCGCAGGGCCTCAGAGGCGGCTCAGAGCACCCGCCCGGCTCTGCGTAGGACTCTTCGAGACTGAACGGCGGGGCGGGGTGGGGGCGAAGAGGGTGCCCGGCCCATAAGAGGCCCATAAGAACCGAAGCCCTGCCCCTCCACCCTCGCCCCCGTAGAAGAGGGCTGTAAAATTCCGGAAGAGAGATTAGAGGCGGGGGAGGGGGGGATGGGTGGGGCAGTGAATCAGTACATTCTTTCCTCCCGATGCCTCCTTCATCCTGGTTATCACTCGTGGGAGGGTTGGGCCCTCTCACGGCCTTCATCTGACCGGTCAGCTGGCAGGGTCCGGACCAGCTAAGCAGCGCTAGGCGGGATCCTCCCTGCTCATCAGAACTTCGTAGAGCCTAGATCACTTATTTTGCAGCTCCTGACCCCATTTGGTTTCGTGTAGGGAAATTTCAGTTGTTGCTTCCAACTGGGTCCTTTCCATTAACAGCGCTTCATGGGCCTGTCTCTGCATTTGTTAGAAGTTTGAATTTATTGAGCATGCACCGATTATGAGGCAGAATCACTTGCTCTTCTAAAATCTTTAGTGTTAGAGGCAAGGTTTCTGAAGGCTCAGAGAGGATAGGTAATTTCCCCAAGGTCACACAGTGGAGAGCCAGGAATAGCCCTACCTCTGTTGGTTGCATACATTTCCCACCACACCCTGTCATTTCCTTTACTTTAGGTCACTAAAAGTCAAGAACTTTTTTTTTTGTACTGGGGATTGAACCCAGTTCCTTGTGTGTGCTAAGCAAGGGCTCTAGGCTGAACCACATTCCCCAGATGACAAGACTTCTTTGTTAGGGGTTGGGATATCACACTTATGGGCCACCTCCCACTGTGCCAGCTGCTTTGTAAAACCATTTCATTTATAATGACTTTTTTTTGGTACTGGGGATCGAGATCGTGCAGCAGGCAGTGGAACCACTGAGCTAAATCCCCTATAATGACTTTCTTCTTCTATTTTTTTTTTTTTTTTTTGTGAGACAGAGTCTGACTATGTAGTTCAGGCTGGACTTGAACTCACTATGTAGCTCAAGCAGTCCTAGAATTTACAGTGATCCTCCTCCCTCAGCCTGAGTGCTGAAATTATAGGTGTGGGCCACCACGTCAGCTAATTTATATTATACACACACACACACACACACACACACACACAGACACTTTTTTTTTTGGTACTGGGGATCAAGTTTAGGACTTTGTGCTTGCAAGGCAGGGGCAGTGCCACTGAGCTAAATCCCTGGCCCACACTTAAAAAAAAAAATATATATATATATATATATACTGGGTCTTGCTATGTAGTTTGGGCTAGCCTTGGACTATGTAGCCCAGGCTGGTCTCGAACTTGTGGTGATCCTCCTGCCTTAGCCTCCTGAGTGCTGGGACTATAGATGTGCACCACCATGCTCAGCATCCCTAGTCCTTTAAAAAATAAAAAAAGATTTTTTTCATTTTGAGACAGGGTCTTGCTAAGGTCACTAAATTGCTCAGGTGGAGCTTGAACTTGCAGTCTTCCTGCCTCAGGCTTCCGGAGTGCAGAAATTACAGGTGTGTGCCACCACACGTGGCTATCTTTTTCATTTTATAGATGAAACTCAGAGAGATGAAGTAACTTCCCAGTTATAGCAACTACCTGGCAAATGAAACAATGTAGGAACCAGGCACCTGGATTGTGTCCCAATCTCAGGGTCTCAGTTTCATTGCTACATCATTATTACTTCTTTCTCTAACTTCTAATCGTGACAGGCCTACACAGCTCCTGCTCTCAAGGAGCCAACACAATAAAATCAGCTAAGGATATGGCCAGCTTTGCCTCACAGGAGCACTGGGAGAATTAATAAGCTAATGGCACTTAGAATGCTTCAGCAGAGGCCCTGAATAAACTCAGGGCACTTACGTGTGAAACGCACTGTCAAGGGTGGTTCATGGTTTAGTAAGGTGTCTGCAGCCCAGTTTCTGATCTATTTGAAGTGTGGAGGAAGTATAACCACATTACCTTATAGTTTTCTTTGGGACCCATTTGGATGCCACAGGCTAGCAATGATGGTGAACCTTTTAGAGCTTTCCGTGATAATAAACAGCTGACTGTGGCAGGTGTACCCATAGGTTCACTGCCACTGGGCTAGGGCATCTCTGCTGGCCTTGGGTAAGAGAAGGTGGTGGTGCCACCATGGTCTCAGGCCTTTCATTCTCAGAGGCAAGTGTTTTCCCAACATCTCAGAATGGTTTCCAGTTTACTTTCGGGGACACTAATTATTGACAGAAGCCAAACCAACATCATAGTCAATTGGGCTCTAGAAGTAGACAAAACCTGGGCAGAATCCTGCTTCTGTCATTTCATCTCTCTGAGCCTCCATTCATTTTTTTAAATAGTTCATTAATTTCAAATTTATTTTTTTGAAGCAAAACATTTATTGGGGGGGGCCGGGGATTTAGCTTGGTGGTTTCGCCGCCTGCTGCGCAAGCGCAAGGACCTGAGTTCAATCCCCGGTACCAAAAAACAAAGCAAAAAAACAACAAAAAAACCTATTTATTAGGACATTTTATTTTACTTTATTTAATTTATTTATTTTTTTTGGTACTGGGGATCGAACTCCGGACCTTGCACTATTAGGACATTTTAGATATTCATAAATGATAACATTCATCAGAGGGAATTTGTATCTGTACATGATATATCTTTTTTTTTTGTTTTGGTACCAGGGATCAAACTCAGGACCTTGCACTTTTGAGGCAGGCGGCGGAACCACTGAGCTAAATTCTGGCCCCTGTACATGATATATCTTGCTTTTTCTTTTTTTCCCATTCTCCTCCCCTCCTTTCCACCCTTCTTCCCCACCTTATTTACAAAAGATTTGTCTCCATTTTTTCCTTCTCTTTTTTTTTTCTTGTCCCATTCCTTTTTAAAATGGGGTAATATAGGGCAGGGGATTTAGCTCAGTGTTCTGCCACCTGCCTTGCAAGCAGAAGGTCCCAAGTTTGATCCCCGATACCAAAAAAAAAAAAAAAAGGGTAATAATATCTTTCTCATAGGATTATACTTTTCTCATAGGGTTATTATTATTATTATTATTTTTGGTACTGGGGATTGAACTTGGGACCTTTCGCTTTTGAGGCAGGCGGCAGAACCTCATAGGATTATTTTGAAGTATAAACTTGATAATATATTTAACAACACCTTTCTCAGGGCTTGGAAGAGAGATGCTCAACAACTGGCCATGATTGTAGTCATTATTGTTATCCTTGTGTGTTATATTATTTACTGATATTTTAGGGCCATGCCGAGAGCCAGATGGAAGATTCATTCATTTGTTCAACAGTCTACTAGATTACCCTAAGTCGGCCAGTCTAAGGAGAATCGTGGAAATAGGCATTTACAATTTAATGCTGTACGTGCTATGATGGGGAATTGCGTAAGGTGTTTTGAGGCTTTTAGGGGAGAATCGGTTAACAGGCCATGCAGTAAAAGTTTTGCAGAAGAGGCAGTTCTCCATTTCCAGTCTGCTTCCAGGAAGTGGAAAATGCTACTTGCCTGAGGCAGATTAGAATGCACACAACAGCTGAAACTGTGTTCTTCACCCATGTGCCTTGACTCTGATCTGCCTCTTGTTCCTCAAGGCCTCTCAACTCCCACACAGCTCTGCCAGCCAGCCTTGCCCTAGAAAATCCCCTTCTGGTGGAAATCAGCCCGAGTTCTATGCTATAGCTTCATGTGGCTGAGTCATAAAATCTTTCCGTTTAGCAACTAAGCTCTAATGGAAGCCTCTGGTCAGGAGCACGGCCCCAGGTCTGCCTTGTGGGAAAGGGTTAATGATGACAGACCACTGCTTTCCGCCTAAAACAGCCTTGATGAGGCAGGAAAGAGGCAGTCCAGGGGGAATCTTCATTTCTTTCTAGGTAAGTGCTAATTCAGTGTAGGTGAGACTACCCAGGGTGGAGGGGGAGGATAACCCCTGCTCACCCCTAAATCTCAAGCAGGAGCCTCCCCACTTCCTCCCATGCCAGCCTCCAGGGGCTTTTCTGGCTGAGCTCTGGCAGTGGCTCAAACCAGTCTCCCAACTCACTAGTGACCACATTTTCCAAACCAAAACTTAGAACGCACAATCTGGCAACAAATTTCTGGCCAGCTTTCAAATTCAAGAAGCAAAAACCTTTCCTCTGGGAAAATCAGCATCGTTATAGGGGACATTGGGGTGCAAGCCTTGAAAATCAAGGTCTTCTCTTTATCAGGCATATTTTTCATACATTGTATTATTGATACGTGAAAAAAGCCCATTAAGTAGCTGATTATTATTTCCACTTAATAGTTAAGAATACTTAGAAAGGAAATAATTTGTTCAACTTCGTACATCCTTAAGTCTGAATTTTGGTCAGTCATGCAGGATTCTCAGGTCTGGGAGTGTGCCTTGAGGGAGGAGGCAGGGAGCAGCACAAAACTGTCCTTCGCAAAGATGCACAAGCCATTTGAGGCCTCCGGGAAAGGCACCAAGAACTCAGCTGCTCGATCCCACTTCTGAGTTGGAAATCCCCGAGCACAGGACTCGGTCGCAGCCCCATCCCATCAACAGCTGGCCGCAGGCCTCGCGGCCTGGGAGCCGGAATAAACCTACGACCTTGAGGGTCACCCGGCGGCCACGTGCCCTTGCCCCAGCCTAGGTGTGGATGGGCAGGGCGCAGCATGGGTAGGCGACTCCCCGGCCACGTTTGGCACCCCCCACCCGTTACATGGGCGCGCCTTCAGTCGCCAGGAGCTTGGAGCCGAACGAACCACTGGAAGGAGCAGCGGGGGAGGTGCCGAGGGCAGTGGGTCAGCGCCCCGCGGGGCAGATGGGCGGGCCCTGCTGCTCCGAGAGCCGCCGGCAGCCAGTCAGAGGCGCCCAGGGCGGGCCCGCGGCCTAGAGCGCCGCGCCCCGCAGCGCCCCCTGAGGGGCGGCGGCGGGAGCTGGTTCCGGCTGCGCGCGCAGTGGTGGTGGTGGCGGCGGCGCGATCGGCTGGGCTGTAACCGTCGTCGGTCCGGAGCAGCTGGAGTGGCAGGGCGGCCGGGAACGGCGCGAGGCGACGCCACAGGGCAGCGGCGGCAGCGGGGGCAGCGGCGGCAGCAGGAGACGCAGCGGCGGCCCTAGCAGCAGCAGCAAGACGGACTCGTGGACACGCGCCGCCGCCGCCGCCGGGCCGGGCCGGGTGTCGCGCGCCGAGGCTGGGGGGGAGTCGTCGCCGCCGCCACCGCTACCGCCGCCGCCGCCGCCGCCGAGGTGACTGAGGAGAGAGGCGCCTCCTCGCTCCCGCCCCCGCCGGACTTCAATGCCCAGTCCCCAGCTCGCCAGCGTGAGTGCGCCCTTCCCGGGCGGCCCGCGCCGGCCCCCGGGGCCTCGGGCAAGGGGAGGGCGGGAGGCGCCGCTGCCAGTAGTGCAGGCCCGAGACACGTCCCCGGAAGGAGGGCCGGGCCGGGCCGGGCCGGGCCGGGCCGGGGCGGGCGGGCTGGGAGTGCGAGGGTGGGCGAGATCATGTGTGGAGGAGTGTGGGGTGTTTGCGCGTGTGGGGTCGAGTGCGAGTGTGTGTGGTGCGGGAGAAGGTGAGTGTCCTTGTGGGGGCGCGGAAGGGGCGAGAGCGGGGTGGGGGCAGTAGGGAGGGCGGGGGAGTGAAGAGGAGAGTGAGTGGGGAGAGAATCTAGGGGGAGTGAGCGTTGGGGGAGCGTGTGGGCACAAGTGGGGAGCAGGGTGTGGAGTGGATGGCGGATATCGTGAGTGCCGCGTCGGGGAGCTGAGTGGCAGATGAGGGAGTGTGCAAGGCTGAGCCTGCGTTTGTCCAGCCTGTGAGCAGGCATCCCGGACGCCTTTCTCCTTGGTCTTTGTGTGTGGGGATAGTGAACCCTGGTGTCTTGGGTAAGGGAGTTCTCTGTAGGAGCATATCTTGTCCCCGAATCCTTGAGTTCAAAATTAAGACGAAAGGGACTGAGTCTTTTAGTGACACGATGCTATCTGGCGCTGGGTCTCCCCTCCCCCCAAGGATGTGGCTCTTTTTTTTTTTCTTTAATCTTCCCCCACCTCCCGCCACGTTTCATGAAGTTGACATAAGTTTCCGAATTTGTCAAGGGTATGGTTGTCATCCTGTCTTAGTCTGGGGGCTCTAAGAGCTAACACAATCCTGATTCTTGCCCATTGTGCTCTTGCCTGTATTCAGAAGCATAAACTTTTTTGTAAAGTACTGCTGATTTTTCAAGGGAAGAGTTTTGTATTATTAGATAAAGTGGGTAAATTGAAGTAGTATCTTTTAGATTCTCTTTTCCCTTTTTGGAGAAAAGCTAAGAATAATAGTATAACGTTGGTGAAGAAAGTGATAGGTTAGTTTATTTTCTGGAATTTGTCAAGAAGTATATAAAGACTCTAGTTCTCATATCACTAGGCGCTCAACAAATGGTTGTCAGTTCAGTCACCAAACTACTACAGCTTCTGCTGGATTATCGTATGGTACTTGTTGGCATGCTCTGTATTACAGCGAGGAGTTTCAGACAGGAAGTGAGTGAAGTTATTGCCTTGTTAACTGTGCAGGAGGAATTAATACAGGAGGACACATCAGGGTTTCAGAATCACTTGCTGGCATGCTGTTGAAGATTAAAGATGCACGAAGTTGTCAGAATTTAATCACCCTGTCCCCAGGGATCCAACCCAGGGGCACTGAATCATTGAGCTCTATACCCAGTCCTTTTTCATTTTTATTTTGAAACAGGGTCTTGTTAACTTGCTCAGGCTGAACTTTGAATTTGTGATCCTCCAGTCTCAGCCTCCTTGAATAGTTGGGATTACAGGCATGTGCTGCTGTGCCTGGCTGATCATGATTTTTTAAAAGTTGCTTATTGAATGGACTAATCACTGTCATGGATTTTTTTCCATTGGGTGTTGTAGAAGTAGGGATTCTTGGTAAAGAATTAAGAGGGATTTTGTGCCTCAGTGATAGAGTTGTAGAAAATAATGATGTCTCAGAAGTTGGAATCTTTCAATATGATTTAAGGTGGTTCTTTTCATAGTGGATATAATAGAAATGTAGGCAAATCACTGATACAGTTCAGGGTAGAAGTCTGAAATTACGTTTTTCTCAGAGTGACTTTTCTCAATCACTAGTATGCTGTGGTTTCAGAAATAGTATTGTAATACTTGGGGGTAGAGAAGGGAAGAAGTTAATTAGTATTAAGTTCCCACTACATATGCTACAGGTGTTTTTATATTCTCATTTAATGCAGCCACAGTAAAGATGCTAGGTATCTGCATTTGTATTCATTTGGCACATTTTGAGTTGCTTTCTGTTTGCCAGGAACCAGGGATATGGTGATGAGCCCCCGTGGACTTAATAGTGATAAGATGAGACATAGACTCAAAGTTAAGCAACTTGTCCTATGCAGCTAACAAGAATGGGAGCTGGATTAAAAATTGAGGTCTGTTTGATGCTAAAGCTCTTGCTTTCCAAGGACCCCATAGTACTCTCGTGTGTTGTCTCTTGGTCGCTGTACAGTGGCCTCGCAACTGGTTTAGCTGAGAGCTGTGTGAATTAAAGGAGAAGACTGGCTAGAGGCAAAGGGATAGTTTACGAAATGCTGACTTGAGGCTCTTTGGGGCCTAAGCTAGGTTTTTATGTGGGAGGAGATTCTTCTTCCTTGAAACTGTCTTGGGGCCTCAGGGTGTGTGCTTTGAAACAGTTTTTATGAGGCACCTGGGATATGTCTGGGTGAGGAAAGTCTGATTAAAGAAACGCAGTAGCCCCTTATGTGTTTTGTTTTTAGCGGGGTGCAGGGAGGGAAGAGTATTGGAGCTAAGAGTCACCTGGAAGTTGCCACCTCGTGAAAGTTTCTCTTGCCCTATGTGGGATACTTAAATCAGGAGTTTGTGAGGAGCATGTGAGAAAACATGTGAAACAACTTTGTTAATTATAAATTGAACTGGGCCTGGGATTTAGCTCAGTGGTTGTGCAAGGTCCCAAGTTCGATTCCCCTACCAAAAAAAAAAAAAAATTGAACTAAAGACACAAAGTAATATTACCACTAAGACTTTTTCTACTATGGCAACAGTTTGTTACATTTAGTAGCTAGAAAAGGCTGGTAGTATTTCAGAACACCTTTACAAAGGAAAAATAGTTTAGAACTGCTGAACAGGATATTTTCTGATTCAGAACAGCAAAAGACCACTCCCTCTGAGTCAGTCAAGTAATATTTAATTCGAGTGAACCAAGTTTATAGGCAGAAACCATTCACAGCATGAGCTTTGGTGGCACTAAGAAAGAGTAAATATTTGAATGCTTTTTGTATGTAACTTTTTATTCTATTCTATTCTATTCTATTCTATTCTATTTATTTATTTATTTGTACTGGGGATGGAACTCGGGACCTTGCACTTGCGATGCCGGTGCCAGAACCATTGAGCTAAATCCCCGGCCCCTGCATGTAACTTTTTAAACAGTTCAGAAGTCACAAACACATACACACAAACGCAAATAGTTTACTTGAAAAAAGTTGTGAACAAGTTAAATTAGATTTACTTTTCTTGAAATTCTAACCCCCCCACCCTCCATGCTAGGGATTGAACCCAGGACCTGAGTCAAGCTCTGCCATTGAGCTACACCCCCAGCCCCTGTCTTGAGCTTTTTATTCATTTTGTCCTTTAAAGGTAGTATTTCCTTATGCAGTAATTGTAGATCACTTTACAGTTTTGAGACACCGTTGAAATTCAGTAGGGATTTAGTTTGTGGGGTTGGTACTCAGTGAAACCTCTAGAAAAAGCATTTACAAATAAGATTCTGAGGAATAGCACATAAGTTTTTAGCTGTTGCTCTTGGAAGAGTAAAGCTTGGTGTTTTAATCCTAGCCCCTAAGATAATTTTTTTTTTTTAATTATAGGTGCAATTCTATCAGCTAGATGACTTGTTAAATAGAAGTTGGGGATCTTTAAAATATTTTGAGTAACTGGAAATCAGGATCCATAGTTTTTTTGTTTTGTTTTGTATTTTTCAGTATCGAGGATCCAACTCAGGACTTTGTACTTGAGAGGCTGGCACAGTGCCACTGAGCTAAATCCCTGGCCCTATAATTTTAATATGGTAGGCTCTTATAATTGAGTAGGGTGGTGGTAAAGATCTTGTTATCTTAGCATACTTGAAAAAGTCCAACATTAAACTTTAGGGCTTTAGGTTTTAATGTTTCCTTCTTGAGAATCTTCTTTTGGGCTGGGGATTTAGCTCAGTGGTTCCACCACCTGCCTGGCAAGTGCAAGGTCTTGAGTTTGATCCCCAGTACCAAAAAAAAAAAAAA